TATGAATATGTAAGCTTGTTGCTTCTTGGTGATGGGAATTGAATATCGTCAGCAAAACCTAAGAAATTAATAAACAATATAAATACGACAAACTCTCAGTTGCGCCTTAGCAGTCTTCCACGATGCCTTGCCCGCAGGACGCTGTCCCTCTATGCGCCGACTCATCCCATGCGCCCCATTATTCCTCATGCGCCTTGATCTTTCTCAACCATAGAAATTCAGTTGTTTCTAGTTCTCTTCTGACTCTTGCGAGCGTTTCATTTATTATCATGTCTACTCGTTATTATTAATTTGCGTATATTTCACAATTGTTTAATTACCCAACTTTGAGATGAATAAAGAACGATTGTGGTACGACAGTGGTATACTTGTTTCCGCGTGGCACAGAGTTCTTACCTATTTTATGATGCATCGACATTAACGGATCTGGAACGCAAACAATTGGACACCGGTACGCCTTTTATTCTTCGCTTTAGTAAATATTCGCTGTTGGATATTGCGCTGATTTCGACAAACCGAACATATCCATTGCTTTACATTTGCTTGATTCCCTTTTTCACACCTTTCGCTTTCTGGACCTTTTGTAGTCAAAAATCCAGGTACATTTTGATAACAAGAGTTTTTTTCTTCTTTCTAATCAGTCATTTCTCATTTTTTTTGCGCCCTTATTCATTCATTCAGTATGGATGGCCCAAAAAACTTGAGCTCGAAAAAAGGTCTTTTAACACGTTATTGTAATAATGTGAGCTCTGTGCCCTCTATTGTAATAATGTGACCTATACAGAATATAAACAACTCATGGAAAGTCCGCGTCAGGTGTCAGCTAATAATTTACGGATTGAATAATTGGTTTCACAACTTAATTCGACTTCCCAACTTGTATCGGAGACCTTGTTCGATTTCACAACTACCATTGACTCGCTTGCGGATAGTCTCACGCCCGAGCACCAGCAACAGGCAGATGTTTACATTGAAAAAGCGCAGGCAGCCATCGATAACGCGCAAAAAGCCGCCAGAAAGCTATTCCACTCCTCCCTAAACCTCAGCTCCTGCATGAAAAAATCGTGTCTCAATGCTTCGATGTTTATGCTTGTACGGAAGCTGTAAGTTCTCTTGAACGAAAAGATCGCACATTGTACATTTCCTCTAAACCGTTTCAGGAACGTCTTCTTGAGATAGATTTAGTAGAATCACGTATTGAGCATTGTCGTTTGCAGCTTTTATGCTGTAGGAACATTGTAAACAATGTCAGAAGAGTTCTGGGAGACCCTCATCCGCCAGCCCCAAGGAGTACGCCAAGGTGAACCCTTATTGATGGACATGGAAACCATCGAGATAGTCGTTTCGGATCATTTGCAAACTCTCACGTCACTGCACGACACCCTTGGTAATTTACGCCTGAACATGCAAGACAAGAAGGACCAGGAGACCTTGGCGTTCGAGACTTACGTTCGTTCCACCCTTAGTAAGCTGGATCAGCTCACACTGGAAGTGAAAACCAGCGTAGTCGACTCCTCCCATAGTAAGCAAAGTAAGCCAAACCCGGAACATAACAGCGACGGTGAGCGCGAGGGAATCCAAAGGATTCAAGAAGGAAATGGCATCATCGAAAGAAAGGCACATTTCATGGCAGTTATAGAGGAGGCGGCGGAGGAAGGAGATGGAGAACCCGAAGATGCGAAAGAAGACTTGATGGACGATGCTCCCAACGATTTGCCGAACGAAGACGATGAAGAAATGATTGTGTCGCGAATTCAGCAAGAAATCAGGAACACGGAACAAGCTATTCTCGATTTCGATAGGATGTTGCGTCAACTAGAAGAAGAACGCAAGTGCCCCCCTCGACGATACGATCAGGGATACATTAACAAAGCTCATGAACGTTTCATGAGAAGTGTTTTCTGCGAAGCAGTCGGATATCATTACTCTGACTCCTGCACGGTGGTCTGCGACGTAGCGAGTAGAAGCCAGCTCATTGAAAGCAACAATAGATGCGAGCAATGTCTCGAAGCAATTTGCTCCCGAGGACTAAGAAGAACCTTACTATTTGCTTCTACTGTCGTACTCGAGCCCACTATAGCGCACTCTGCAAATTGCCGGACTACAGTGAAAGCATCTCGCTCACGGAAAGCGAATGCACACGAAGCAAGGAGAAGAAGCTTTGCAAAACTGTGTCGCTTACGAGAGGAACTGGATCTTCGAACCGCTCTTGATTCAGGCTATCCCCTCCGTAAAAGCCGTGCGCCCTTACCTAGTCGTTGGATTGGAAACACACTACGTTGGGGAACCTCTCCCTACCAAAACCACAGCCTGCACCCTCCACCTTTTATTAGCGAAGTCATTCCGAGGCCGAGAGTATCGCATCTCCGATGCGATTGGAACTAAGGAATTGGCGTCACAAGACGATGGCAATGAGAAAGCGAGCTCATCCTCAGATCTGGAGAATTCGAAAAGCAATATGAATATGTAAGCTTGTTGCTTCTTGGTGATGGGAATTGAATATCGTCAGCAAAATCTAAGAAATTTATAAACAACATAAATGTGACAAACTCTCAGTAACGCCGCCGTCTTCCACGATGCCTTGCCCGCGGGACGCTGTCCCTCTATGCGCCGACCATGCGCCCCATTATTCCTCATACGCCTTGATCTTGCTCAACTACAGAAATTCAGTTGTTTCCAGTTCTCTTCTGACTCTTGCGAGCGTTTCATTTATTATCATGTCTACTCGTTATTATTAATTTGCGTATATTTCACAATTGTTTAATTACCCAAGTTTGAGGTGAATAAAGTATGATTGGTACGACAGTGGTGTACTTGCTTCCGCGTGGCACAGAGTTTTTACCTATTTTGAAGCTAACATTCCATTATTGCTGGAACCGGCGCTATGAATTTCGTGACAAAAAGACACACACGCACACACTTAGCGGATTACATAGATAGTAGGTTATTTATGTTGCTGTCGGATATTTTCGCTTGTTTTTGCGACGTCTGTAATCATGATAAAATGACCTCAAAATTCAGGGGTCGTCAAGAACCTGAACTCAAAAATTCCCACCTCACTGCCGATATCTACGTCAAAGCCGTTAAGCTGACCATGACGGGGTGAACACAGCCCTATGGGGTAACGGATAGCACACTCGTCCGGAAAGCGCGAGGTGGTTCAGGCTCCGCCTGAGGTCAGGCCATACCTCATCATTCTTGTGGTAAGTATGTAAGGCCTAATAATGGAATTGCGATTTTGGAAGACGGTGTTGTGAAGATAACATACTTTTGCATCATTGCTTGAGCAGCTCCCCAATTACTGACTACCTCGTTCACTGTTTCGTTGTCATCACGAGGTCGGAATCCTCCTGAATGGAAGACATATTGTAGTTCACAAGGCACGTTTGCCAGTTTGTGTAGAAAAACGTGCAGTTTTTAGTACGCTGCAATTTTCGTGCGCGGTCATTTATATTCAGACTACTAAAACGAAAAATATAGGGGATGAATGACTTCTCTGAAAAGCTCCTAGACTTTTTGTGTTGTGCAACGTTCGGAGCCCATTTATGGGGAAACTTTGAGACAGCAGAAGATTGAGGTAGTAGACTTTCCCAACGGATTCAAGTCATTCTTCAGGTTTCATTCCTAATACTTCTCACTCTTATGCTGCTTTCCTTTTTTGACTACCAACCCTTTTCTCATGATAAGTGTGCCCTCATTGCTTGTGCAGTGACTGTTTGGATGATTATACTGGAAGAAAAGCATCCCACTGATCAAACATAATCCATGTTTCCGCAGAAAACGTAGGAGAATCACCAGCTATGACTCTGTTGAACTGGCGGCTTCCACGAGTCATTCATAATCAGGCTCTGGTCAAAAGTATGAAAAAGTAAATAAAATAGCATATGGGCAATCGAGTAATTCAGGTTGTTCACATACGCGGAGGTGCTGCTTGAGGAGTAGGTTTCTTTTGTGGAACATTTCCTGCTTGAAGAAGGGATTTCCTTTGCGGGTTAGGTGCTGCTTGAGGAACAGTTCTCTTTTGTGGAGGGGTAGGTATCCTAGGCTTCTGCACTGCCTGCCTTCTGTAAATAAATGAAGAAACCACCAACGCAGTCTAGAAAAAAATCTCTAAAATTTTGTTCATAAACAATGGATCAATGGAAAGAATGGTTGCCATATGCTTGAAGTTTAGCAAGACTAGCTAACTACTTGGGTATTCTCATAGTCGTCTAGTTAATCGACTATTTTCTAGTTTATTCAGCATTTTTATTGCCTTAACTTTTACATTTAACTTCCATTTTAGTGGACATAATGAGATTAGGTGACGTAGTGATATGTGACGCTCCCTGGTAGCGTGCACTCCCTCACTGGTGATTACGGAACAGGGATGAGGGGGAGCATACTTCCATATGTAAGGCATACGAGCGATTTGATACCCGAAGAATAGATACCGGTTTTGCTTTGATTGGCAATGTAGAACAGAGCGGTTGGAAAATGAATCAAATGCAATGAAAACACTTCCTGTTGCTCCATGATCCTTGCCACCTAAGAACAGGGCACGCCATCGTTGTGATGATCACAACAGTGGGCGGGGGGGGGGGGTCGTATTTGACCTCGAGGGAGGGGGGTCGTAAGCGCGGGGACCTTTCTGAAGTGAGGGTGCAGCGATACCCAGATGTCGTTCAGCTTCAATGATGAAAGACTTATCCATGTGAAGAACCTCTGAAGAGACCACACAAGACAGAAGCAACCTGCCAGCGCAGAAGTGGGGAACGGGCGATGACAGGAAATACGATGGCCGCCCAAAACGACTTCATGAATTCAAGAACACATGAGAATACCCTTCCGAACTTTTCCGATCGCAAGAGCACATTTACTTGCACGGAGGAAGCCCTATCTAAAGTTGCACCTTCCCAAGTACCTCTGCGTGAAGCCCTATGCATGGCGCATTACAGAGGTGATGCCAATTGGCGCCCAATGAACTACTCCTGATACCTTGGCGAAAACATGTGTTTTAGAAGCATACCAAAGTCTTCAAATGAACTAGAAAATATGGTGTCGGAGGTGAGGGTTTTGCGTGTCGTCTGGAAGGGCTTGCCTCAAGATCACAGCGGGGGATTTTTTTCGAATAGTAGGCCTAAGGATAAATTGAAAGTGTTGCTGGAAAGTAGAAACCTTCATAGTTCCTCACTGCTTCTGTTTCACAAATGGCCTTGTATGAAGATTGTTAAGGCAGTTCAAAGCGTAAGGACTTGTAAAGACACCCAAAGGTTACAAAGGGAGAACAAGGGAAAGAAGTTCTGAAATTATTCTGTTCGTAATCGCTTTGAACCGCGTAAATACGTGTCCACATAGTAATCCACAGCTTTTCACTCTTTGAACCCGCACCCACAAAGAAAGTTATGGATGTTAATGGCGAATGAACTCGTCTGAAGTGCCTTGCTTATAGATGCCTCCGCACCGTGACATATGCTCGCTCGGCAGTATCGCAGTACAGAAGCGCGCTCGTCTGTTGTAATGACCGGGTGCGGAAACAATCAATATTTAAGTGCTGGCACTTCCATTTTACCGCACTTTTTTTCTTTCCTTGTCTTTTAAAGCTCATTTATAACTTATCACTTTTGTTAATTGATTTATGATTTATTATGGGTCATTTTTATCGTGTTTCTCACATTTACATCGCGTCTTTTTTTGTTGTTTATTTTTGCAGATCTTCCAATTTTCGGTGTTTGTTTGTCCGCTGCTGATCTGGTCCGCTGCTAGCAGACTGACCCTTTTTATGAGGGGGTCTTATTAAGCAACAATTCACCACAACGCCAAGGCGGCCCAGTGGAATTCTACGATCGGCTAGGAATTCTTCAAAGCGTCTCTGCTTGCACGCCTGAATTTATACAGCGAGCCTTATACAATAAGCTATTATACCTCTAATGAAACCAGTATGTGTAGCGTTCATAGTTGCGAGGAATTTGTGGCTGTGGGCGGGCTCGATTACAATTCATAAGTCAAATCAGAAATTTGTGGATCGTTTTAGGAGGCATGGAGTGGACACACTAGCGGCGCTTCCTACCACAGGTTGTTTTCCTCCTGAATCATTCACTAGCCAATCCCTATTGGCAGAAAACCCAGCTCGTAGGGGGCTGTCCGTCACTCCTGATACCGCTCTGTCTGATCGGAACGATATGAACCACATTTCCATGTCACACATGTTCAACTTTCATAATGTCGACATGTTGCAAAACCTTGTTCAATACAGTATTGTACCCAACGTCGCATTAATGGAGCGTAAGCACTTTCTCAGAACAAGTATTGGTTCCATACTGGTAGCCTGTCGGATTTGGAATATAAGTTCTATGATAAAGCACTTTCTATTTTTGACGAGGTGCGGGATCTTGGGATTTACATTAGTAAAAATCTCAAATTTAGCAAGCATATTGACGTTATTGTTAAAAAGGCTTTCGGTACAATGTTCCTCATACTCAGAAACGTTAAGTGCAATGAAGCGTCTATTTATGTCAGGCTCTATAGAGCATATGTAATTCCAATTCTGGAGTACGGCTCCCAGATTTGGAGTCCCTTCGATAAAAAGTCCCAGGCAAAACTAGAGAAAGTCCAAGAAGTGTTCACAAGAAGTAGTGATGTACAGGTGTTTTCCTGATTCAGATTATCCCCGTTCACTGCCCAGCTGTAGAGAAAGATTGCTGCTTCTCAAAATAAGGAGCCTTCTCTACCGTCGAGTATTTGCTGACCTTGTCTTCTGTTTCAAGAGTGCTCAGGAATGAAATTAAGTTGAGAGCCAGTAAATACTGGATTTTTAGACCTAGTAGAGGGCGTACTTATTTTCTAGGACTAAAGAGCGTTGCAGTGAAAAGGAGACACCACTTCCTCGAACTCTCTGGAGAGAGTTGATTTCTTATCTGTTCTAGGTATTCAGACCTAGTATTTTCTTCTTATCTAACAAGGAAAGGATGGTTGGTCGAAGTGGCCATTCGAAATGAGACGTATACTGCCCGATGGGCCCTTGGACGCTGATTACAAATCTGCCCTCCATATCTGCTAAACGATTTGGACAAAGTTATGCAGGATTTTTGACCAGGTCACACCCATTTCCAGCATGTATATGAGGTGCTCCAAATTGCCCAAATTGGCTGGAATCTGAAACTAGAGGTGCTTCAGTGCCCTGGAAATCAACACTGCAGTCATATTTCGTGAAAACGTCTTGTACGCATTCTGGAGGGGCAGGGTGTGCAGGAACCTGCAACGTCCTTGGCAAGCGTTTTTACGCCGAACGAGTGTGATATTCGTGCTCTGGGGCTCAAATTAGCCCTAGAGACAAGTTTTCAACCAAATTTGAGATTTCGACCTATTTTCGATACAGTGGGGTAACCATAGGCAGCCAATTCCTA